TTTAATAAAGATGGATTCTTTCCCATCGCAATTTTTTGAGTTTCTTTTTTCCATTCGGCGTCAAATTTATCGGTAACGTTTTTAGCCAATCTCGCGTCATTCAAGAAGTATAGATCATCTTCTTCCAAAGGACGTTTATAACCTAAGCTCATTAAATCGTTGACCCACCACATAATAAACACAGAAAATAAATTAGCTTTTGCCTCGGGTATTTCAATGTTTGAACGAGGAGGAGGATTTGAATTCTCAAACGTCATTATCGTAATCCAATTGAAGTGTTAGATATTTGTTTTAGAGAGTAACAAAATAACAGTAAATTATTTATAAAAAATGTGTTGATTTTTTGTTTTTTTTTATAAGCGACCTAAGCTCTCAACTCTCAACTTCCAGGCCTCAGTACTTGTATCCCTTAACGTATGATAGGTTTTGTATGCTTTATTGATATCCTATTGGAGACTCCCGTGTGTTGGTAGGGTACAGGCTATGTTGCGTAACTATAGTTACTCCCAACTAGTGATGGGCAAATCCCGATTTTTTTAAAAATCCCGCGCGGGATTCGCGGGATCGAGTAGTTTTTAAATTTCTCATGGATAATAAAAATATATATAAAGATCATCACTGTGAAATTTCTTGTTAAAATAATAATCATAGAACAGGGTGAAACCCGCGTTGCTAGCTAGTAAAATCCGCTACGTAGATCAGGTTAGGGTGAAATCCGCGGTTATGTTTTTTATTATATAAAAGCGGATTTCACCCTCGCGTGATGATCATATCGGATTTTACTAGCTAGCAACGCGGGTTTCACCCTGTCGTATAATCATTTCTTATAAATCTTACTGCATTTATGATACGTAAATAAAAAATGCTTATATAGATTTTGCCTATTTTAAAACATAACAATTTAAGCTTAAAGTAATTTTATCGATTCAGATCAGGGACAGCTGCGTCAATTATGCATGCAACAAAAGTAAATTATGCATTTTGAAGTGCATATATTTTTCATAATTATGCGTGTATTCTGCACCCAAAAATTATATTTATGTGTGATTGTGCTGCGTCATGCTCATGAAATGCGAGTTTCGTATCTAGTTTAAATCGAACTTCCAGCCCGTCCCGAAATTTTCGCCAAACGATAGTCGTAATGGTCCTAATACAGTAATACCGAATTGGTTATACGTACGATCCTAAAATAGAACAGCCAAGCCCCAAGCAAAGACCACCATTTCCGGCCCTAAAATGGTAAAGACGATCGACGATAATTCGATTGTCTAAATGAAGACAAAAATAAGGTGACCGTCAAATATTACCTTGTGGGGTAAAGCTAACCCCACCAGGAGTCTAGACTAGGGCCACCGATTTTCTGCTGCGACAGACCCCAAATTCTGCCTGCTTCACAAGCCTGTTTATGCGAAATTATGCGAATATTTTTCTTATTTATGCTGCAAATTCTGCGACTTTTTGCGATTTTTTTAAAATTATGCCATAAATTCTGCGAACTTATACAATTGAACTTTTTTTAAAAAAACAGACCTTAAGTCTCCGTATCCTTCCGAGGGACACACTCGTGATTTAGGTTCACTGATTGTCTATATTGGAACCCCGGTTCTTCAATCATTTATAATTTTGCCTAAATTCGGGGGATGGCTAAAGCCAGGTCATTACGAAAATTACCCGATTTTTCCGATTTTTAATTAAAATTAATTAATATTAGGGTTGGGTTAGATTAAGTAGTT